GGGCCATCCATAAATTACGTCACACGAATTTTAGGACTTTTGAACCCCTCCCCCCGTCCTTGTCACAGGTTGTCACATTTTTATAATCCCCCCCTCCTGATGTGACGTCACACATTTTTTAAATTTAGGCATGTATTTAAAAATAATCGAGAGAAAACAGCTATTTTCATTATTTACTTTTTTTATTAAATAATCTAATAAAATCAACATAAAGTCCAATATTTCTCATAGCGAGAATGCTAAATTATTAATAAATATAGATCAAGTTCGTAGATTTTTATAGTTTTTTATTCACATCTAAATTTCGCGTTTTAGTATTTTAAATTTTAACATGTGACGTCACAAAACTTTTGACCCCCCTGCCCCTTGTCACACATTGTCACATTTCGGTGATACCCTCCCTCCCCATTTACGTGTAATTTATGGCTGACCCCAAATCCATAAACGATATCAAAATTTTGTTAGAGGCAAAAAATCTTCTAAAATAGTGCTTATTTTTAAAAATACAAATTCTGTCGTCATTGACGTACACACAAACAAATTACGGGATAGCCAGTGGCACACAGGCACTAGAAAGAGAACATCCTGTATATGTTTTCTCACCAAATTCTATATTTACATTGCCCTTATATAAAAAAATATGTACACCAAATTTGAAATTTCTAAGAAAAACAGTTTTCAAATTATTTGAAAAAAACTTGGTTATCTGTTCTATATTTAGAAGGCTATATCTCAGTAGGCATGCATTATTGTATATAGGTAAGTTCGAGGGTAAGTTAGGCTAAATAGTCTTATTTTCATCCAAGGAACCTATGGTCAAGCGTTGTTCATCCTTTTCAGGGACACCCTGTATAATTATTGAGATATGTAAGCCTGTAACATTCAAATTATCTTCATCGTACAGTACATCACTTAAATACAATTTGTTTTTGAGAACTTAATTTTTAATACTGAATTATGAACACATAATATTGTATTAACATTTAAGTCCCTTACTGGAATGACCTCAAGAAGTCACAAGTCTAATGTTAAAACTGTTACTGATTAATTATTTCTTATTTTTGTTTTTGATCAGGATTAATAGCCTTTATGGATGAAGAATGCCTTAGGCCTGGAGAACCAAACGATAAAAGTCTGTTAGCCAAGCTCAACTATAAACTTAGTTACCATCCGCATTATATAGGTCATGAAAAGGCGGACATTAAATTACAGAAAATTATGGGTAGAGACGTAAGTTGTTACTAGGGGTTACAATATGTATACTTTTAATTATCACATTCTAGGAATTCCGGCTTATTCACTATGCTGGGTCTGTGACTTATAACATTAAATCATTTTTGGAAAAAAACAATGACCTCTTGTTTCGCGATTTGAGAGAAGCGATGACCAATTCAACAAACAATATCATACAAGCAGTATTTTTAGAATCAGAACAGAAAAGCAAGAAGCGACCAGAAACAGCAATTACACAATTTAAAAATTCAGTAAATAATCTAATGAGCATACTAAGGGATAAAGAGCCTTCGTATATCAGATGTATAAAACCAAATGATACCAAAAGTCCAGGTAAATAAATGCACCTTAGAAAATACAGGGTGGTTCCGAGGTAATGGGCCAAAATTCATAGGTAGATTCCCGAAGCAAAGATATTGCGATTTAGCCAAACATACCTTAGTTGAAAAGTTGATAGTTAAAGAGCTACAGGGTGTTAAATTCTTAAATATTTCTTAATAAATGCAAATATCCACAGAAAATTTTGGGGTTTGGGGTTCTTTGGGTAGAGGAATTGAAATTTCTTCACATTTTGGTTATAGTTCATAGAGGGCGCTAGCTGCCGTAGATTGAACATGTTGAAAATGACATAACTTTTTTGTACTTTAATTATCTCTATCTCACATTTATGTATACATATATAATTTAAATTGTAAGCTACAACGTAATTTTAATTAGATACGAATAATACTTAATGGAAAGTAGCATATATACAAATAACAGCAATAAGACAAGTGGAAAACGTCAATTATTTGATTTTCGTCCAAATCCTACTTAAGAAACTTTACCGCTAGATTAATAATACCTGTAAGTACTTAATTGTAATTTAATGCAACAGCATTGGAAGTTTCAAAGCCAAATATCTCGAAAATTGTGCGAGACAGCTACTTTCATAAAGTATATATTTTTTGTGTAAACAAAGTTGGAAAACAAGAATTTGATATCAAAGATAAGACACCTTAAAGTATAAAAAAGTTATGTCCTTTTTAATACATTCAATCTACTGCAGCTAGCGCCCTCTATGAACTTTAACCAAAATATGAACAAATTTCAATTCCTCTACCTAAAGAATCCCAAACCCCAAAATTTTGTGTGGATTTTTGCATTTGATAATGAAAAAAAAACTTAAATAATATTTTACAATTAACACCCTGTATCTCTTTAACTATCAACTTTTGGACTGAGGTAAGTTCGGCTAAATCACAATATTTTTGCTTCAGTAATCTATCTACCCATGAATTTTGGCCTCTTACCTCAGTACCAGTATATAGCAAATGTCAATTTTATGCTCACATGTCAATTTTCAGTCTTCTAACAAACTGATTATTTTTTGTATTTTTTTTAACTTCTTTTTAACTCGCACTTGTGATAGAAAATAGTATGTGCAACTCATTCGGAAAAGTTGCCATAGCGCCACTTGGGCGCTTTCCGCATTCTCTTCGCTTGTGCTTCAACTGCGTCCGCGTGGCGCTATTGGCAACTTTTCCCCACTCGTTACACAATGTACTATTATCTAACTTTTGAGAAATAATGCCATTCTCAGCAGTTTTTAAATTCAAATTTGAAAATTGTGAACTTCATTTAGCAATTTTTTTTAAGCATTTCATAAATGTTTGAAAGATCAGATGATGAAAAACTTTACCATATGAAACTTATGAAAGCACATAGAGGCCATATTTTACAAAATATAATTGCAAATTTGAATTTAGCTGATATACTTTTCAGAAATAAAAAAGTAAATTAACTTACATAATTTAATTTGCAATATTATATATTTATTTTTATTTTTTTGGTCTACAGGTGTTTTTGATGAAGAACTTGTAAAACATCAAATAAAATATCTGGGACTGATGGAAAATTTGCGCGTAAGGAGAGCTGGATTTGCATACCGAAGAGTTTATGAACGTTTCTTACAAAGATACAAAAGTCTGTCTAAAGAAACATGGCCAAATTACCATGGAAATGCTAAGGATGGAGTTCAAATCTTAGCTTGTCAACTTGGCTATGAAAAAGATGATTACCAAATGGGAAAGTAAGGAAAATTAAAAATGTATTCAACCTCACCATAAAATACAATTTTCTTTTTTATTTTTCAGAACGAAGATTTTCATCAGGCGCCCACAGACACTTTTCCAAACTGAGGACGCTTTCCAGTTAAAGAAACATGAACTTGCTTCTATTATTCAGGCATCATGGAAAGGTTTAATGCAAAGGAGAAGATACTTAAAAATGAAGGAAGCGGCCATTTTTATTCAGAAAAATATAAGAAGGTTTTTGGCAATTCGACTGGCACAAAAAAGACGAAGGGCAGCTAATACGATTAGAAGGTAAATAAAATATTGATATAAATATCAATATAATAAGCTGCTAGGTCCATGTCAAAACATCAATTTAATTTAAATGTCATAAAAAATAAAAGGAAGTAATGCTTTGTGAAGTTTAGAATATTATATTGACGCGTTCCTACGAAAACATGCTATCTCACACAAAATTAAGTTTGACTAGAAATTTAAGTTGGCTGCATTGGCGTTGAAATGCATATTGAATGATTGAAACCGTACACTTATAATAAACTGTTTATTTTATTTTTTTCAATGTTTCAATTAATTTTATTAACTTACTGTTATAAATGACAAAATTGGTAATTAAAAAAAAAAGAATAATATGCAGTGTGTTGCAACACATACATAACTTGATGTTTTTTGAAATAAATTTAAAATAAATAGTGTATACCTTAATATATAAAAATGTTTATTATTACCAAAACTTATTTGATTTTATTCATATAAGTTTACTTTAATATAAGCATTAATAGCGCACTCTTATCTTATTTATAGTCACTACTCTTACTTTTATTCTAAAAATAAAGAGACTGCAGTAAAAACGATTATAGTGGACCAGGCTAGACTCCAAATCTCGGCTCCGAATCGTTCTTACCTGGACAATATGCCCGATTAGAGCAGCTATACCTGGATTGTCTTGTCAATTGCTCTTAACTTGCATTCAGATAAAGTATTGCTTTTTACAGACAGCTTTGTATTTATAAATGCATAATTAAAAATATCAAAAATGTTTCAATTTTTTTGTGAAATACGGTTTTTACAATAGTTACTTTTCAAATAAGAACAAGATGTAACAATTTGTAGAAAAACATCATTTATTCATAAAATTTCATTAATAAAGTGAACATAGTAACTAGAATATAAATATAATGTATAAAGTTGAATGATATGTACGATAAATATGTATGCATGTAAGTGTGTAATCGCGCATGTGCATCTCATCTGCTCTGCGCCAGCGTTGTCACAGTTCGCTCCATCGATCAAGATTTCGCCCTTTTTATTTCGGATTCACTCTTGCTTTTTGTGAAATCTTGCTCTTTTTAGTACCCTTCACAACAATATTTTTTTACGGAATATCGCAGCAGACATGCTGGATTTTCGATTTACTTAATTAAAGTTTGGCTACTTTGGTATAGATGGCAAAGGTAATTTTATTACGTTAATAGGGCTCTATATTAAATAGGCAACCATCAATACATTTTTATAGATTTTATTACATAGTTTGTCTAAATATAAATTAATGCACAAACAACAGACTTTCCTTCATTCTATCGCAGATTTTCTATAAAATGGAGTTAATTTGAAACTCAAATTACTTTTTGGTGTAAAGAAATTTGTAATTTACGATGCCGCTTGTTCAAAAGCGGCAAATTACAAATTTCTTTACAAAAAAAGTAATTTAAGTTTCAAACTAATTCGATTTTATAGAAAATTTGTGATAGAATGTAGGAAAGTCTGTTATTTGTGCATTAATTCATATTTAGACAATCTGTGTAATAACTTAACTTGGTTGCCTCAGAGAAATAGAGAGGGTTGCCTAACCTGCCTTAGATACCGACCGACAGTCGGATTGGAATCGGAACGACGAAGCATAATTTATCGAATGGCCAGATAATAACGAGTTGAATTTTTAATTTCTTCAGAAGTCTTTATTTAAATTTAAATTTAATAAAAACGTACTAACAAAAACTATGGAATTGAACCTATAATCTAGTGAACTTTGGCTATTCTATTCTTACAGTATAAACCACTTTTAAAGTGTCTGTAGTTGCCTTATAGTATACCGCCCAAAACTAAGTTATCTTTGTTGTAATTTTATTTAAACATTTAAATTTTTGATTAACATAAGTTAATGTAGAGTTAATGTAGAGATTGATTGATTTATTTCAACATAAAAAAATCTCACTATTTTAAATAAAATCTTGCTCGCATTTGATAGGAGCGCTCGCTCGAAAAAATATAGGTTTTTGACAACACTGCTTTGCTCCTGTCGCATCGATATCCAGCAAATCATAAAGTACCGGTAATAATTGTTGCATACCTGCATTTCATTTCCAAAGTCTATGCAAGCACGTGGCTACCGTACCTTTAAAAAGCCATTTGTTTTTATTGAAGTGCAGTAAGAACGATTCAGACCCGGAGTTTGGGGCTTAGCCCCGTCCACTATATAATCCTTTTTATTGCAATCTCCTTAAAGTCCGCATTAGGCATAGGTATAAAATTATTTTCAGAATAAATTGTGCATCCCAGATTTTGTGAAAAAAAAATAAGTGCATCAAGAGTAGTGACTATAAATCAGATAAGAGTGTGCTATTAATTTTTATATCAAAGCAAACTTGTATAAATAAAATCGAATAAATTTTAGTAATAAAAAACATTTTTATATATTAAGGTTACACTCTTTTTTTATAATTTGTTATTTCAAAAAACGTCGAGTAATGTACTTAGCACACTGCACATTATTCTATTTTTTTAATTAACAATTTTGTCATTTACAACAGTAAGTTAACAAAATTAATTGAAAAATGTTGAATGAAAAAAATTAAATAAGCAGTGTAAAGTTATATAATAATATAACTTTATTATAAGTGCCCGGTTTCAATCATTCATGTGCATTTCAATGCCAATGCAGCCAACTTAAATTACTAGTCAAACTTATATTTGTGTGATATAGCATGTTTTTTTCTTAAAAATCTGAGCTAGCATGTTTTCCAAGCTTAATTTGAGATAGCATGTTTTCCACACACAATTTTAGGTAGCATCTTTTCCAAGTACAATTTGAGATAGCATGTTTTCTCAATATGCAAATCATAAACAGTAGTTTCATATTGGATTTATCGAATTTAATGCTCTTCAAATAAAATTCAACACAAAGAATCTTTGATAGTCGTAATTTACAGAATGGAAGAAATCCGAGATGAGCGTGACTGATTTTTTTTGACTTAATTATATGCTAATGAAAAGGATCAGTTCCAATAAGTTTCCTGAAACATCATTCGCTTACACGTTTTTACACAGCATTATTTCATTTCTATTGTCAGATTAATCAAATTTTTTATGAAAATTGTATTAGATTTTTATCGGAAATACATAGGAGATGACTAATAAAATAATTAATTTTGCCAGCATTCTTAGAATTACTAAAAATGTACGAGAGAGATAAATATTAGCAGTATTACTTCGGTCTAAAAGTGATCAACTGACTCGTACTAGCACATCAAATTTAATTTAAATTGGGCAAAGCATTTTAACTGTTTGGAAAAGAATTTAAGATGTTTGCTAATTTTAACGTTTTCATCAGATAAATGAGCACTTTTGGGTACAGGTTAAATCTCTTATTTTGATTTCAAGAATTTATAAAAATTCCATGCACACGGAATACCAGGAAACCTTGTATATTTCAATACTAAAAAAAATTATCTTCATCGTTTGTTAAATATAAGTATTTGAATTAGTGATTATATAAAAGTTAAATATTAGCCACAATTTTGATGTTTTAGATTTATTAAAGGATTCATTACAAGAAATGGAGAACCTACAGCGGAAAATCGTGCCTTTTTGTGTATGGCAAAAGTTCAGTGGTTACATAGATTGGCCAAATCCCTTCCAAAGAAAATACTTTACAGGAAACCTTGGCCACCCTGCCCTTATGTCTGCAGGGAGGCGTCGGCATATTTAGAAAAGCTTTATGGAGCTCACTTATCTAGGGTTTACCGTTTAAAACTTACGCCAGAAAGGAAGCAACAATTCGAACTAAAAGTATTAGCAGAAAAATTGTTCAAAGGTATTTTTTTTGAGTAAAAAATACCAGAATATTGAAATGATCGATTATTTAATAAATAATTATTAATTGTTTTCAGATAAAAAGAAGAGTTATGCTGCAAGTGTGCCTAATTTATTTATATTCGATAGAGTACCTCAAACCTGTTTAGCTTTAAAACAAGGTTATACTGCAACTTTAAATGGAGACAAAGAGATTGTAAGTTCATGAAATTTTAAATATAGTAAAATATATGTGTACATTTACATATTTTTAGTATTCGACTAGTGTAATAAAATATGACCGACATGGTTACAAGCCTAGAGAACGCATTCTACTAATAAGTAAACAAAATTTACATTTATTGGAATGCAAAGGTTCCGTAAAACAAAAACATTGTCTTCCATTAAAAAGTCTGACTTTTACTGTATCACCAGAAAATGACAAAATGCTCGTAATTCAAATACCTGAAGAATTCATGAAGAAAGATAAGGTAATTGTCTACCGCAGACAGTAAAATTTTGTATTGTGTGAACCAATATTTTGACCCATTTTAATTTGCAACCTTTGCAGGGAGATCTTATTTTGGAAGTACCTTATTTGATAGAAGCTATTACGATGATTATCGACACAATAAAAGATCCAGAGGCACTAACCATTATTGATAAATCCCAGTAAGTATAAAACCATTCAGATTATTTGATTAATCAAGGTATGTTGAAGGGTTAAAAAATAAGGAGGATCTTATTATTATCCATTATTTTAATGTAAAATCAAGAACGATCTGTACTAGGTACTGTGGGATTATATTCTGTTAAAAAAGTATCCGGAAAATTCTGCGTAAAGTAGATTTAAATTTCTTTTCTGATGGAAAGTTGGTAGTAATGCACTCTGATGCGAAGTTTGAGCGCGATCTGTCAAATAAATGTGTTCCGTAATTTTTGTATGTATAATGTTATGTTTACCTAAAATGTGGAACGGAGTTTCTTATACTGAATCATTGAAAATTGAAAATTCAATTTTATCGAAAACTCAAGCATACGAATGCTACAAAGCATTCAAACATGGTCGACAAGTGGTTGATGATTTGCCAAATCCGGTCATTCTTCAACGTCTTCAACTGAAGAAAACATCGATAAAGTGAAGGAAATTGTTCTTGCAAACCATCATTATAGTTTGAAAGAACTGGCATATGAACTAAACATATCTCACGAATCAGTTCGCACCATTTTAGTTGATGTTTTGGCTATGAAACGAATCTTAGCACGGCTGATTCCAAAAGAGCTGAATTTTCTTCAAAAAGAGCATCCCAAATATGTTGCTGAAGACATGCTTGAACAAGCTAATTTGTACTCTACATTCAAGCAATGCATCATAACGGGTTGCAAGATATGTTTACAAGTTGAACATGCAAACGAGCCAACAAGTTTTGGAATAATGCTTTTCTAATGATCTGAAAACAAAAGAACCATGTCAAAGTCATGTTGACTGTTTTCTTTGACTATCATGGTGTTATCCACATAGAATTTCTTCCAATAAAGATCATCTGGGTGTTATGAGGCCTTCGAGAGAGTATGCGCCGCAAAATACCACATTTATGGAAGGACAATTCTTGGATTTTGCACCACGATAATTATGAGTAAATTTTTGACCAAAAACTCAAAGAATGTCATCGATATGACCCCTGCTGAATTTTCCTCTTTCCCAAACTCAAATTACCACTATCCGTCGCAAAATACCAGATTTATGGCAGGACAATTCTTGGATTTTGTACCACGATAACGCACCGTCACACAAAGCGGTAATTGTGTTTCCTCTTTCCCAAACTCAAATTACCACTTCATGGAATACGTTTTGAGCTGACAGAAGGCATAATACAAAAATTGCTGAAGGAGTTGAAGTCCATACCGGAATATGTGTTTAAAAAGTGCTTTGACGACTGGGTTGTTCATTCGAAAAGTGTATTGCTACACATGGAGCTTATTTTGAAAGAGACAAAATAAATTTTGATGATTAATTGAATATATTGTCAAATTCCGGATACTTTTATGATGGAATGTATAGCACCCACAATTTTTCTTGGTGTGGTTGCCAAAGTTATTTTGTGAAGAAAAGTTCATATAATCGTAAGTCGAAATATGCTTCGTTTCCGCGATACAGTGTTTAAATTTTAATTTTTTATTTATTTTTATTAATTATTTCAGAGTTTTAAGATATTGACTCAAAATTTGAAAAACGCTTAAGAGGGATAAAATGTGCATTTTTTGGGGTGATCCGAATATTTCTACTTGCACCAGTAGTGTTCGTGCGAGAATGCAACAACCTTTTTTAATAAAAAAAATGGTACGCCACTAACTTCTTTTCCGTTTTGATATTTTTTTAGATATTTTGAATGAAATTGAATGAGGAAAAAATAAAACATATTATTATTAAAATAAATAAAAAATTTAAATTTAAACACTGTATTTCGGAAACGAAGCATATTTTGACCTACGTTTATATGAACTTTTTTCACAAAATAGCTTCGGCAACCACCCCCTAAAATATTTCGCACTTATTTACAAACACCCTGTATAAATATATTCATGAATTTATATCACAGTGAGATATGATTTATTAATCACAATTTTGATATTTCATTTAAACATATACAGGGCTGGCAACGGTACATTATGGTCCATCTGCCCTTACATGAGAGCGACAAAATAAAGAAATCCGCGCGATAGACAAAGATGGCTATAGTGAAGACGTTTTGTAATCTGAATAGTCACTCCCACTTCTAACCAAGCGCATCCTATTGACTATTCAGATTATGAAACGTCTTTAAAGGCCCCCACAGACACACGTTCTTTTTGGCAGTTTTACCCGTACAGTTTTATCTGTACGGGTAAACACGAACAACGGTAACAGCCACACACTAGACGTGTTTTTTGTTCAGTTTTTTTGAAATCGTGGTGTCATTAACATCAACCGTTCTGTGATGGAATATACGACAACACTGGCAGTGGCGGCGGCAATTGCTATAAAATTTATATAAAAAAAAAAAAAAAACGTTCAAAATGGGTTAAAGAATGGTTAGTTAAAAGAAAACAATTTTCACACGTAAATGTTTTGCATGAATTACGACTAGAGCCGGGAGATTGGTTTAATTATTTGCGAAAGGACGAAGAAACTTATTTAGAGCTGCTTACTTTAGTAACACCATTAATTCAAAAACAAGATACCTTAATGAGGCAAAGTATTACACCGCATGAGCGTCTTACCGCTACACTTAGATTTCTTGCTACTGGCACAAGTTACGAAGACCTAAAAAAAAACCTAAAGTGAAGTCGCAAAATACAAAAATGCAAAAAACTTCACTGAAAAAAAAACGTCCTTTTTAACCGCGTCGTCACACACACGTACCGACTTGAACGAACATGTTCAAAACAGACGGTTTTAATCAAGCTGGGACAGATATTTTTAAACGCGGGGAAGAACGACGGTTTTTAGCCACACACCGGCAGTTTTACCCGTACAGATAAAACTGTATGGGTAAAATTGCCAAAAAGAACGTGTGTCTGTGGGGGCCTTAATACAGCCATCCTTGTCTGTACGGATTTCTATGACTTACTTTGTCACTTTTAATTAGACAGATGGACTATGTGGATTTTCCAACTGTGTATGTATGTACAAAGTGCAAGCACGATTTCAAGCTATGAGCCATTACTGTTAAAATATAAACTTTTAAAATGACATAAAAAAAATGTAAACTAAAGGTTGTTTATTTTTAGTATTGAACACAACATGAAAGGTAAACAAGGTACTATTGATATACAAGTAGGAAATCCTGAAAGGATTCATAAAGACAAAAGTGGCCACCTATTAATTGTAAGTAATATTAAATAAGGAACAACCATTTATTAATGTCTGATTATTCATATGAATTTAATTTAGTTTATCTAATAATGTAAGATAGATCTAAGAAGTTTTGACACAACTGATAAATTTCTTAATTTTTTTTATTATACATCAAATACATCTGTCAAATAAAAATGTTGATTATGTTTTAGGTTGTATCGCCCTAAATGAGGAGAATCACCCATCAACACTGGTAAAAACCAAACTGACTCGTTTATGAAACCCGTCAGTATAAACATAAGTGCCATTTGCTTCTTAATTTAATAAATATATGTACTTACAAAATGCCTTTAATTTTAAATTGTTACAATATTTAATATATTTATATATTTAAATAAAATATTAAAGTTTTCTTACATAACACTGTTTTTTTATTTAGGGAAATCTAAAATGTATGTAGAGTTGTTTCAAAATCTTATGAGCTTTGACCTTGATATGTGCAGAAACATAATTCCAGCCGTCGCCTAAATTATTCTACGTCCTAAAAACATTACATCCATTATTCACAGTATCTCGAGCTCTCGTAGCATAAACAAGCCTTTGCTCCGATTACAAATATCATAATAAAATGCTCTATTCTTTATTATTTTAATTTAAGCAATACAAATATATATATAACGAAAGTTTACCAGTTGACTTTATTGATGCCCGAACGCCTTCGTTCATTTCTGGTTGTAATGAGGGACGTGGTCTAATTCTGAGTCAATGTTTTCACAACGTGCTTATTAGAAGAATTACATGTGGATACGCCACGCCTTTCACGCATTTCGCGGCTCATGAGATTTTCAAACTACTCTACCTACTTACCATAATTTGAATGAAAAGAAGACAATTTTTTAAATTTTATATCAACGGTGTCAAAAATTAAACTGAAGAAACTTCCTAAGAACTGTTTGTATAACAGGCCAACCAATAGAGTGAAAAAAGAGGCTGTTTTTACACTCAAATATTACAGCCAATTTCATGTATTTTTTTTTGAAAAATACTTAGTAAATGAAAACCCAAGTGATTTCCGCAGCAAAGTCGTGAACAATTTTTTTTTAAACAATAAACTGCAAAAAAATGTCATTTATTTGTTTTTTTTATATATCTCGAAAAATAATTATGGAATTGTCTTACTCTCAATAGGACTTTTGTAGAGTATAAAAAACCCTATAAAATGGTTTTTTGTGTGACTCGATCGGTTCATTTATATCTTGGATTTTCGCCTGGGTGATGGGAAATATGTTAAAAGTGCCCTTGAAAGTCACCCGAAAAGATCGAAAGTACGCTGCTTCCCCCACTACCGCTACCCGACTGGTTCGAGCATACTTTCGATCATTTCGGGCGACTCGGGCATTTTTAGCATATTTTTCCCCTCACCCAGGCGAAAATCTGAGATATACAAACGAGATTTTGTCGTCTACTTTCAGATGCCGTTTTCAGAATTTAAATCGGACCATTTTTGATAAATTGCCATGCTGTGCAAAAAAAGATCCTAATTTGTTTATAATGCAATTGTGCAAAAACTATACATCAGACATCCATCTTGCATACGATTAAATTAAGTAAAAATTAAATAACTATACCTACAGTAAAAAAAATCCAGGAATTCTTGTCAGTATCACAATTTATAATTTTTATTTACAAGTATATGTCTCCAATTAAATAATAAATATTGGTATTCATTTTAAGGTTTAGGTTTCGACTGATGCTTTGCCACAGCTTCTTGAACCTTCGATAATTTTTTTTGGTTACCCATAGCTCTAGTTCGAATCTCTTGTTCTACGGTTTTATTAACAGCTTTACTTACAATCTGTTTTAACTTTTGAGTTTCATCGTGTTGCTTTTTTTTAGGTTTAATTGGACAGTCTACAAAGATAAATAAGCATCATTTATAACATAAAATACTGAATAAAAGCTTACTAGATCTCTTTGTAACAGCATTCCCCTTAGATTTTTTTGTTTTTACGTTTTGAGGTACTTTTGCCTTTGTTTTTAATTTTCCTTGCGCCATATTGGTGGTTTTTAAGACATTAAATTTGCCATATTCGCATTAACCTAATAAAAACATTAAAATTTCATTTCTCAAGAATCTATCTGTATCTAAATCTAAATGATTAAATGCTCTCTTCAGTTCTGTTCGTTGTGTCTGCTTGATTTACTCCAACTCGATCGGAGTAATTCTTCAGCGTTCGTTGTAACCGAGCACAAAATCTATGCTGTTCGTTATTCAGGAGTAATTCATTCTGAACAAGATTAGTGCTCGGGTTACTCTGTCATTTGTGCCGAAACAAAGGGAGTGGAGCAACTAAAGCAATCAGCTGATTTTATTTTTATTGGTTGAATGGTTGATGTATCTGACGTATGCCGGTATTATATGTTTTATACCGGTAACCGCGCCATTATTCCATGGCTATAAATTGGCCTCAATGATTTGTGATCGAGGGGGATTATCCCTCTTTATCATGCCTCATCTCGTACAGGCCTGGACGGCCTTCGTAGGTGGCCCCATCCGTCGTCTACTCCGACCGCAAATGCGGCCGGTGTAGGCGCTTTGTGGGACCTCCTTTTGTCCTGGCTGGGCCCCGCCGGCTAGGGCCCTTTCTTCTGGCGCTCTTCTTGCTTCGCCGGCTCGTCTGTGTAAACCCCGGGGGTAGTGTCATGTTTATGTGTGGTATGGTTGGGTAGGGTAGTGCGGCTATGCAGCCTGGGATGCGCTTTGCTAAGGTGGCCCTTAGGCTAGCGCGGGAGGGGAGGGTTAAGGAGGGTATGGGGGGTGTGTGTGTGTGTGTGTGTGTGTGTCGTTGTCTTCGTTTCTTGATCCTGGCTGTCTCTGAAACAGAAAAGGTTAGCGGGCAGGGGGGGGGTCATTGGGGTGGTCACCCAGGGTCAAAAAGTTGGTGTCTAGGTCTTTTGTGTTTGTCGGTCACGTCGGGTACGTAGTCAACGGCTTGCCTGAGGAGGGGATTGTCATGTCTAGCGGCTACGTCAAATCGTTTCTCCGCGTTTTGTCTTATTGTCTGTGTAGCGTTTGTGTATTGTAAGTCTCGTAATATGTCAGTGTTTCTTACGTACCAGGGCGCGTCGGTGGCCGTGCGGAGGGCTATGTTTTCCACAGCCTGTAATGACTTTAAGTGGCTTTTTGCCGCGTGACCCCACGCCGTGGAGGCGTAGGTTAGCTGCGGTTGAAGTACCACCTTGATAAGCGTTCGCTTATTCCTTAAACTGAGGGTGTTTCCACCTTTGAGTAAGGGATAGAGCCTAGCCCTGGTGGTCTTCGCTCGCGCCACCGTCTCCACGATGTGCGGTTTCCACGTGAGACGCTGGTCCATCGTCACGCCCAGGTATCGTGTTTGTCGATTCCAGGAGATAGGTTCCTGGGATAGTGTCAGTCTGTCGAGGTTTTGTGGGATTTTTCGTTTGGTAAAAAGGATAGCCGAACTTTTGTTGGGATTAATTTTGACTTTCCACCTGTTGCACCAGGTTTCAAGTTGGTCTAAGGAGTTTTGGAGGAGGGAGACGGAATATCTAGGATCTACGGATTGGGATGTGATTGTCAGGTCGTCGGCGTATAAGTATATGTTGGTGTTGGGGGGATGTGGGATGTCGGAGTTGTAAATGGTGTATAGGTGTGGAGACAGGACGGTGCCCTGGGGGACACCGGCCTTCATGGGACGGGTGGTGGAAAGGGAATCTTGGATTTGGACCGCGCTAGCCAAGGGCCACCGTAGCAAAGCGCATCCAAGGCTGCATAGCCGCACTACCCTACCCAACCATACCACACATAAACATAACACCACCCCCGGGGATATAAATAGCCCCTAGCCGGCGGAGCACAGCTAGAACAAAAGAAGGTCCCACAAAGCGCCTAACCCGACCGCATTTGTGGTCGGAGTAGATGACGGATGGGGCCACCTACGAAGGCCGTCCAGGCCTGTACGAGATGAGGCATGATAAAGAGGGATAATCCCCCTCGATCCCAAATCATTGAGGCCAATTTATAGCCATGGAATAATGGCGAAGTATTTGCTTATACTATCTTCATCTGCCTTGCACACGTTCGCGATTTACCTCTCTTTCTAGGTCCAGTCCATAGTATATAAAGTCTATGATAGAGACGAAGAATGGGAAGAAGAAGAATTTTGTGAAAAATAATTGAATTTAAAAATTTAAAAATATCGTTGCTCCTTACGTTGTACGTTAACGGATTAAGTAATATAACACAAGTGAGTATTTAAATGATTAATAAAGCCAATAGGATTCATTTAATCTGTTATGTTTTTTAAGGATGGATGAAGTGTCAGAGTTTTTTAAAAGTGGTTTTCTTGGTTTATATAAAAATACAGTTGGAAAAAATTATCAACAAAAAACCGTAAAAGACAGAGTTAGCAATTTTAATAATATGAGGCGGGAAACGAGAAGTACATTAATGCTTCTAAAACGACAGATTGATGAAAATATCACCATGACACCATCTAACACTACTGAACCATCCAGAATTATTAAACAAACTAATGAAAGGAAGGATAAAGAGCAGTCAAACAATAGATTAGAGATGTTACGGAAATGGAAAATTGAAAAAGAAAAGCGAAAACTTGTGGAGAAAAAAAAGGCAAAACCTTTATTTAAAGTTTGTCATGTACCTAACGAAATTGGTTTACCGAATTTAGAAAATATAAATAAATATGTCAAAGGAAAACCAATTAAAACAAATGTTGTCCCAAGGGAATCTAAATTTGCACCACCTAATCATAAGTTTCATCCACCAAAAGGTATAAAACCTATCCATATGAATTCTGCTAATAATAGTAGCTTGTCAACTAAATCAAAACATAATTTACATGGAACATTGTCAAATTGTTTGGAAGAAAATAAACTTTCTTCAAAAGTTGCAAGGAAAGAGAGTTCTGTACAACGAAGAAATACAAGAGCTACATCTCGTAACCCACAAATTGAAAATTTGAATAAGGCAGAGAATAATAAAAATCCTCATAGCAAGATGGGTGTGACTAAAAACAACTTTACATCCACTAATACTAAACAAAAAACAGCTAGTTCCAAAATAGAGACTAAAACTGTTAAGCGTAAACTACAGGCAACAACCCTGCCATGTATTAAAGTAGAAAGTAAAAGTATATCTGGTACTGAAGTCAAACGAAGGCCTGGGAAGAGTAAGAGATATACCAGTAACTAAAAGGCAACTTGTTAATTAGTTCTGTTTTAGGTTCTGTTAGTGAGAAGAAAATCTCAAATAAAAATCAAAAAGAAGCTTTTGTGGAAGAACATTCTGGTTTAAATAAATTATCAAAATTATCTCAAAAACCAATTGTAAAAACCGTTGGATGGAATTGTAAAGTAGTAATTGGAGATGAAAGTTTGCCTACAGGTAATGAAAATATTAAAACACCTAAAGCTGTGACAAAAAAATATAAAAAGACACCTAAGAGAATACATAAACTTGACATGTCAGATGTGGAATTCATTGATGTTTGTAATAATGCAGAAACGAAAAGAAGCGAACTTCAAAGTATACCAAAAAATATTATGAAAGTCAGAAGACGATTAACAAAAAATAACCCAAATTCTGAATTAAAAGGATTAGATGAATTGGACCAAATAGAAAGTGACTCAAAAAATCGAAATTCTACAGTTGGATCTGCAACAGGATCTGCATCTCCAGATTATCCAATAGATAAAAATTTGACTGACTTAAACAGCTGTTTTTATACACCTCAAAAAAATAATACTTGCGAAGATTCTCCAGTTTACATAAGTCCTTTTGTAACCGTCTCTCGAGGAAAGTCCAGTGCAAGGAAGGAGTATCACATGAGACACTCTGGGGCTGAGCGAGCTCCTGAATTTGTTGTAGATATTTTAAATAGTACAAGTCCTAAAGCAGGAGCTGATTATTTTGAAAAAAAGCTTAACAGTGAGGTAAATAGAATAGAAAGAACTTGTGATATGTGGGAAAATTACAAAAATTCAAATGAGTTATCAGAAGAAGCAAATGACATGATAAATGTGGCTATAGGTCAATCAAAGTTACTAATATCTAAAAAATTTGAGCAATTTCGAAGTTTGATAGAACAGTGCAGAACATGTAAATATGCAGAAAAACCAATTTCTTGTGAAGATTTGCATGGTTTCTGGGATATGATTTACATGCAAGTTGAGGATTTAAATAAACGGTTTAATAATTTAAATGTATTGAAAGCAAATAACTGGCAAGAAATTGTACCAGAGAAAAAAATTGTTACGAAACGTGGAAGAGGCAGACCTAAGAAGGCTTCAGCTAGTTCCACACTTAAAAATCTTATCAAAGCTGCTCGTGATATGAAAAAATCAGATACTGAAAGTGAAATTAATTTAAATGTTCCTCCAGTTGAAGAAACGAAAGAGTTTGATGGTGGATACTACACGGTTAAATCACCAGTTAGAACATTAAATGATCCACTTGTATTGAACGAAAATGCTAGAAGAAGTTTAAGAGTTTCTTTATTAACTAACCAGGCTAAGAAACGCAGGAGCTCTTCACAAGGATTGACAATGATGAAAGTTTCTCAAGCTATTAAACACGGAGATGGCGTAACTCCTAGTAAAAGCATTTTGAAAAATGATTTATCGAAACTTGAGAAAAGGATGACCAAATCTGTTTTATTTAAAGACGACATAGAAGAGGACGTAGAAACAAAATTAGTTGGTGCCAATGAAGAATTGTATGATGATAAAGATGCAGAGAACAATATTAATAAGGAAAATAGTATAAATGAAATAAATTTAATAAGTTTTAGTCCTATCACACCTACTAGAAGATCTAAAAGGCTAAATAAGGTTAAGTGAAAGTTTATTATATATGTAATATGGTATAGTTAAAGGTTACATTCAGTCAGCAAATTTATTGTTAAGCATTTACTATATTTTTTATATTTAAAGAAACAAAAGTTATCATCGTTCATACAGAACCTTATTAAAATATTATTTATGCATGTACAGTTAAAAATTGTTTAGGGACTGCGCATATGAACGAAATATGATTCAAATGACCCATAGCTAATTTTTCCAATAATACACAGCAATTTCTAACAAACTTTTAAATAAAATAAAAGTAAAACGTCACCGAGTGAACGATTTGAAGAAAGAAGAGCAACGGCTTAAAGGTAAAGATTTTGTCGACTGAACTCACCTTAACTCAATTTATTTTTATATGGAGTAAGTTTTCATAATATATTTTATACTTTTTTTAATAGATAGTAAAAGTTCAGTAGTAAGTGGCTTTATTTAAAATTTCGTTGTAAAGAAAAACAGTTAAAATTAAAAAAATTACAACTTCATGACAATTTAGTTCTTTTATAATTTTAGTATTAAAATACACATGGTGTTTCAGAACAACCTACAATAAATTCAGAGGCTGCTAAAATATAAGAAAAAAATTATTTTCCTGTATACGCCTATCTTGTCTTTTGATTGTAAAATACAGGGCATCAAATATGATTTTTAAAAATCAAGTTTTGGTCGTATCTTTTCCAAGTAAAAAAAAAAACAATGCACTACATTAAAGATTGGCATAAGTAAGGTTTTTGACCAACTATCTAAACTTCAAAAAAATTATGTTGATAAAAAGCGTTATAACTATGTAATGACATATCAAATGGTCAAAAACTTGCAGTACTGACGTATACAGGGTGTCCCCCACCACGAACTCCATCGATGGATATCTGGGAAACTGCCCGGAGGATTTTTTTGAAATTGTGATGGTGTGATACGGACCGTGGGGCCTACCAAGCTAAAATATTTTCAAGGTCTTCGTACTTCCGGTTATTCCGGAAGTCGATATGAACTTTCTTATTTTAAATGGAACCCCCTGTATATTATTGCATTTTTGGAAAGACCATGTATTTTTAAGTTGAAAACATATCGCATACTCCATACTTAGGATTGACCGTTTCCGAGATATTTTGATTTTTAAACAAAAATTGACATGTAGACTGTCAGCAATATTTAGTTTTCCCGCAAACACAGGTTTATTTTTTTGTGCAAATTGGACATTTTGTAGAGGAAGTTCTAATTTATCGAATTTTACATGAAAATTTTCCAGTTTTTATACAGGGTGGTCAAAAAAAAATATCGAATATGAAGTTCTGAAAAAGTGGAAAACTCGAAATTTTTAAATGGAGTTTTCCACATTTTCTGAAATTCATATTCGTTAATTTTTTTTTTTTACCAACCTGTATAAAAACTGGAAAATTTTCATGTCAAATTCGATAAATCAGGACTTCCTCTACAAAATGTCCAATTTGCTCAATAAAATAAAGCTATGTTTCCGGGAAAACTAAATTTTGCTGTCTGCATCTGTCAATTTTTGCTTAAAAATCAAAATATCTCGGAAACGGTCAATCCAAAAATATAGCTAAAATTTAGTTTTAAAAAATAATTTATGATCTGAAACAATTTTAAACACACTATCAAAAGCTGGAAAGTTATTTTTTTAATATATTTATAATAGTAAAGTCCTATAAGTTTTTTCTGTAAAACAAGTAGTTTACACTTATAATTGTTTTATTTAACTTATGTTTATTTTGGGCAAAAAAATATTTCTAAAATTATCATATCAAATGAAAGTGAACTGTTTTTTTTAACAATTAGGAATCAAATAGACAGATTAATCCTTCTTAATGAGCTAAAGTTAAAAATAAACAAGATAACTTAATAATTTAATTTGACCTTTTTGCCAAAAATGAAAATACACTTTATCCAATAACTTACGCACATCTTTTATCGAGTTACATTTATTGATAACGAGGTTTCATAAGTCATCACGTATCTCGACTGGTTGGAAAATAGACAAATTCCTTAGCATACAGAAGGTTTAGGTTTGGTGATGCCGGAAAAAACAATTATGGCGGCAATTATTTCTCCGCACTACAATTTGTTTGGAAACTGGGTATTTAAAAAATTTCTCACACCACTGAAATGAAGTGTATCATCAATAAACCAAAGTTGTAATCTGAGGTCCCGTGATAAATCTTCGAACAACAAGTAAGGAAGAGTGATTTTAAGAAATTCTAAATAAGTTGGCATTTAGACAATTGGGTAAAATTACTGGACCAATTAAATGCCTCAATAATATCAGTTTAAACATTTAATCTAAACTCATGTTGAAAACGTTTAGGATTTATTGCATAAAATAATGGTGGCAATTACGAAGATTGGTAATTCTTCTGCGAGTGAAGTATGCTTCATCTGAGAAAAAAATTGTAAAACTATAGAAAAGGACAAATGACAACTTATGAATATATTTAAGTCGAAAATCCATATTAATTTTGTTTTTGATTTTTCATCTCCTCTTTAAAATTGAAACGTTTCTACATTTTTGCATGATATAATTATCAAACATTATTTTCACATAGTAAATTACACTTAAGTCAAAGGCATCTGGTTCTTAAAATTAAAAGACATGGATTTAATTTTTGAACAAATTTTTTTATCTAGTAGGTAATAAAAATTTGCAGATCAATGCCCCTAAGATTTTCACATTTATTGAAAATATTCACAAGAAAAAATACACGGTGAAAGAGTAAAAATAATATAACGTTGAATAACTAAATATTACTCACAATTTCATTTAACAAACTTCGTTTTTTTATGTCTATTATTTTTGTTTCTTTTCTAGTAATATCACCATATGTCTCGCGTTTCAATCTTGTCTAATACGAAGTTTATTCTTATAAACTTTTTTCTTAATTGTGCGCTCCAGAAATACAGATAATTATTTGATTATTTAATATTGTAATTCTTCCGTCATGTTTTGTTGGTGTGAATATTTTCAATAAATGTGAAAATATCAGTGCCATATATATTTCTACACAATTTTTTTTAAAAGCTTGATGAAAAAGCCTTCTTGAGAATATGATGTATAAATATAAAATAAATAGTTTACTTACATTCGACATTTTTTGAATTACCGGTTAAGCTAAAATAGAAAAAATGCATATTTGATGAATATCCAAAAGGACCTCAAGATTAAAAATGGCTAAACAATGGATACCCATAGAACATATGTAGTATATGCATCGGCTACATTGTTAAAAATTGACTTGTACACAATGATAATAATCGAATGCAATAAAGTATTTTAGTTCTTAGGAGAAAAACCTTATATAGAGGTAAGTGTAGTTAAATTGCTTCATTTTGACTTCAAGATTCTGTGGTAGTTCTAAGTACATGGAATATTGAGACACCCTGTATGAGCAATTAATAGTATAGGTCAGGGGTCGGCAAGTAATTTTAGGTGGGGTCCGGATACTTTTAAAAATTTTTAACGAGGTCCAGAAAAAAAATTCATATTTCTTACAAATTTTCATTTGAACTCAAATTTAATTTGTTTACTAACCATTAAGAACTCAAAACACTCACACAATTGTAAAATACTAGAAAAAATGATAAGGTTGGCACTTAAACGTAAAAAAACATTTTTTAAATAATTCATTTGAGTAATTTATACTTTCAAAAAATTTTTGGCGGTCCAGTATTTTACCTTCGGCGGTCCGGACCTGGACCGCGGTCCGCCAGTTGCCGACCCTTGGTATAGGTACTCAATGAAGTAAGATTCTAGTTAAAATGTTTTTATTTGTTTGATATTGTTTGTAATTTTGTTTCTTGTACTTTTTTGTAACTGATTTTTGTAATTTATAACATTAAAAAGTTCTCCCCTTAAGTGCACCTTTGCAACTAATGGTCATTCTATCTTGTCCTGTCACTCTACTTAAAGAAATAATATATTAATCTTTGCTCGAGACCTAGAATTTTCACAATTCCTTACATTTAGATAGAATTTAATGATAAAAATTTGATTAAAAAACAATTTTATGATTTTTTTTGTAGATAATAAAAATTGAAAATAAGTAAATATATATTTTAAGCACATATTTTTTAGAAATGCGCTGACGCAGAATTCATATTTTTCATATGAATATAGCTCCACAAATCAGTCCTAAGGATGTTATTACGGTTCAAAGACTGCATTCCAGAACGGGTTTTTATTTTATTTCTCTGAAGCCACTTTAAGCATCGATATGAATTTCAGTTATAAAATAATGCGTAAACTCACAATAAGTTCTGTTTAAATAAAAACATTAAAGAAGTCTTATAGCGGCACTAATAATGCTTAAAATTAAATTCGTCAGGTATGCTTACAGTTGATAAGCAACTGAAATCTATTTGACACGTTTGTTAAAAACTATTGTACTGAATAAAAGTATTTGAATCAGATTTTCGAGTTTTAAGAATGCCAGAATATTCATTTGAAGAAATGATTGACATGCATTGTATTGTATACGGTTGTACTTTAGAAATGAGCAGACTATATCAGAAAGCCTTTCCAATAAATTATTTAGTATTCTACAGCAGAAGTTGAGAGAAACTGGTACATCCATGCCAAAGAGGATTGATTGTGGAAGAAACCATACTACACAGACCCTGCGAGCAGAAGAAAGGGTTCTAATTGGTTGCAATAAGCCATATTGCAGCATCAGAAGAATTCGTCTACAAAAAATATTCCTAAAAGCACAGTAGCACAGTATGGGAAATTTTGTATGAACAACTCCTGTATCCGTGCTATTTACAAAGAAGCTCTGAAATCTCAAGCTTTCAATCTAGATTAGAATTTTATCAATGAACGCAAATTAAATATCACCAGAATCGTTTTTTTATCGATAAAATGTCGTTCAGGTTCAATGCATCATTTATAGGGAAGGCGTTAATTTTCATAACAACCCTGTGTTGTCAGATAAAAATCCACACGAGATTTTTGAGTCTATTTCAGAACATGTTTTCTATTAATGTTTGGGCAGGTATTTTGGGGGATAGGACTATATGTTATGCCTCAGCTTTAAACGGACTTGCATGTTTGAATTGTTTGATAAATGCTTTCATGCATGATGTCACTCCAGCCCATTTCAGTGTTTTAGTTTGAGACTATTTAAATCAAATTTATCCAGAACGATGGATTGAATAAGGTGGGCCTATTGCGTGGTCCCCTCGTTCGCCAGGTTTTAACCCATTGGATTATTTCCTTGGGGTTATTTGATACAATTAGTTTATTCAGTTCCTGTTGACAATCTACAGCAAGTAGAATAGTGGGTCATAGATTTTGCCAAGAAATGCGGAATAAGCAATAGTGATGATAAAAAAAGGTTCTTAGAGATAAAAGATAGTTCTTTTAAAAAATATATTTTGTTGACGTCTGGCACATTCTAGTAATACCAC